CCATGCTGGCTGTGCTCCACACCGTCCTGCTGCACCGCAGCACCGGCAAGTTCCACTACAAGAAGGAGGGAACCTACTCCATCGGCACCGTGGGCACGCAGGACGTGGACTGCGACTTCATCGACTTCGCCTACGTCCGCGTCTCCTCCGAGGAGCTGGATAGGGCCCTGCGCAAGGCTGTCGGGGAGTTCAAGGTGAGGAGCATCCGTGGGTGGGAATGGGAGCATAGAATCCAATGGGATCCGTGGGGTGGGGATGGGAGAGTGAAATCCAGTGGGATGTGCCTCAGAGGAGTTCAGGGTGAAGAGCATTCTTGGGGTTGGGAATGGGAGCATAGAATCCAATGGGATCCGTGGGGTGGGGATGGGAGAGTGAAATCCAGTGGGATGTGCCTCAGAGGAGTTCAGGGTGAAGAGCATTCTTGGGGTTGGGAATGGGAGCATAGAATCCAATGGGATCCATAGGTGGGAATGGGGGTGTGAAATCGCATGGGATCCATGGGGTGGGAATGGGAGAGTGAAATCCAATGGGATGTGCCCCAAGGGATCCATAGGGGTGAAAATGGGAGTATGAAATCCAATGGAAAGTTGGCCAGGGGAGTTTAAGGTAAGGGGGATCCCTGGAGGTGGAAATGGTAGTGTGAAATCCAATAGGATCCATGGGGTTGGGATGGGAGAGGGAAATCCATGGATGGGATGTGCTGCAGGGGAGTTCAAGGTGAGGGCATCCATGGGTGGGAATGGGAGCATAGAATCCAGTGGGATCCATGGGGTGGAGATGGGAGAGTGAAATCCAATGGGATGTGCCCCAAGGGATCCATAGGGGTGAAAATGGGAGTATGAAATCCAATGGAAAGTTGGCCAGGGGAGTTTAAGGTAAGGGGGATCCCTGGAGGTGGAAATGGTAGTGTGAAATCCAATAGGATCCATGGGGTTGGGATGGGAGAGGGAAGTCCATGGGTGGGATGTGCCGCAGGGGAGTTCAAGGTGAGGGCATCCATGGGTGGGAATGGGAGCATAGAATCCAGTGGGATCCATGGGGTGGAGATGGGAGAGTGAAATCCAATGGGATGTGCCCCAAGGGATCCATAGGGGTGAAAATGGGAGTATGAAATCCAATGGAAAGTTGGCCAGGGGAGTTTAAGGTAAGGGGGATCCCTGGAGGTGGAAATGGTAGTGTGAAATCCAATAGGATCCATGGGGTTGGGATGGGAGAGGGAAGTCCATGGGTGGGATGTGCCGCAGGGGAGTTCAAGGTGAGAGCATCCATGGGTGGGAATGGGAGCATAGAATCCAGTGGGATCCATGGGGTAGAGATGGGAGAGTGAAATCCAGTGGGATGTGCCCCAAGGGATCCATAGGGGTGAAAATGGGAGTATGAAATCCAATGGAAAGTTGGCCAGGGGAGTTTAAGGTAAGGGGGATCCCTGGAGGTGGAAATGGTAGTGTGAAATCCAATAGGATCCATGGGGTTGGGATGGGAGAGGGAAGTCCATGGGTGGGATGTGCCGCAGGGGAGTTCAAGGTGAGAGCATCCATGGGTGGGAATGGGAGCATAGAATCCAGTGGGATCCATGGGGTAGAGATGGGAGAGTGAAATCCAGTGGGATGTGCCCCAAGGGATCCATAGGGGTGAAAATGGGAGTATGAAATCCAATGGAAAGTTGGCCAGGGGAGTTTAAGGTAAGGGGGATCCATGGAGGTGGAAATGGTAGTGTGAAATCCAATGGGATGTGCCCCAGGGGAGTTCAAGGTGGAAATGGTAGTGTGAAATCTAATAGGATCCAGCAGAGGTGGAAGTGGGAGTGTAGAATCCAATGGGATGTGCCCCAGGGGAGTTCAAGGGAAGGGACATCCATCAGGAGTGGAAATGTGAGTGTGAAATCCAATGGGATGTGTCCCAGGGGATTCACAGGGGTGGAAATGGGACGCGTCTCCTCCGAGGAGCTGTATAGGGCCCTGCGCAAGGCTGTCGGGGAGTTCAAGGTGAGGAGCATCCATGGGTGGGAATGGGAGCATAGAATCCAGTGGGATCCATGGGGTGGAGATGGGAGAGTGAAATCCAATGGGATGTGCCCCAAGGGATCCATAGGGGTGAAAATGGGAGTATGAAATCCAATGGAAAGTTGGCCAGGGGAGTTTAAGGTAAGGGGGATCCATGGAGGTGGAAATGGTAGTGTGAAATCCAATGGGATGTGCCCCAGGGGAGTTCAAGGGAAGGGACATCCATCAGGAGTGGAAATGTGAGTGTGAAATCCAATGGGATGTGTCCCAGGGGATTCACAGGGGTGGAAATGGGACTGTGAAATCCAATGGGATGTGCCTCAGGAGAGTTCAAGGTAAGGGGGATCCACAGGGGTGGAAATGGGAGTGTGAAATGCAAAGGGATGTGCCCAAGGGGAGGGTTAGGGCAGCCCCTGAGCCACTCTCTGTCCCAGCAGGACGCTTTGCGCAGCTCCGGCAGCGACGGGATGGGACAGATCTCCCTGGAGTTCTACCAGAAGAAGAAGTCTCGGTGGCCCTTCTCGGACGAGTGCATCCCCTGGGAGCTGTGGACCATCAAGGTGAACGTGGTGAACCTGGCGAACGAGCAGGAGCGGCAGATCTGCCGCGAGAAGGTGGGCGAGAAGCTCTGTGAGAAGATCATCAACATCGTGGAGGTGATGAACCGCCACGAGTACCTGCCCAAGATGCCAACCCAGTCCGAGGTGGACAACGTCTTCGACACCAGCCTGAAGGACGTACAGCCCTACCTGTACAAGATCTCCTACCAGATCACGGACTCCCTGGGCACCTCGGTCACCACCACCATGCGGCGGCTCATCAAGGACACGCTGGCACTGTAGGGCTGGGTGGCACCTGCCTGGTGGCACCTCCTTGGGACAGTGGCTCTGCTTGGATCCCCCTCTCCACCTCCAAAATGCCTCTGGCAGGAGCTGAGCTCAGTCTGGCCTGTAATTTGGGGGTTGCTGCTCCTTGGTGAGGTCTTTCTTGCCTGTCCTGGAGAACCTGCTTGGTGGCTCCAGCCTGGCTGGTGACAGGGTGAGTCCTCAGGGTGCGTGTGGGGCCTGGCAGGGGGTGCTGGGGGTCAGGATGATACCATCCATTCCTACCTGCAGCCACTCTGCAGCACACCCAGTGCCACACAGCCAGTGCTGGCCGTGTCCCTTGTCACCAGCTGTGTCCCCCTGGTGTCCCCCCGATCCCTGTGGGGCTGGAGCTGCCCCCAAAATAAAGTGTTTCTGCTTTCACATGGAGTCTGGTCACATCCTGGCTGGGAGTATGGGGGGCTGGGGACTATGGGAGGGAGGGAATAAGTGCTGAGGGTGAGCTAGGGGTCCCCATTGCACCCCAGTGCTGTGGGGCTGAGCTGGGGGTCCCCTGAGCCATGAGGCCGAGCTGGGGGTCCTCACTGCAGCCGCTGAGCCCCATGGCATGGGGGTGCAGTGGGGAGAGGCAGGATGGGCAGTGGGGCAGCCCCAGTTGCCCCTGAAGCACACCCTGGGGAGGGGCAGGGGTGACCCTCCATTCCATGCAGTACTCTGCACCCTCCACAGCACCAAGGAGGGGCCAAGCTGCTCCCCCCTCCGAGGGGCCCTCCCTCCAGGGCTCCAGCTCCTCCAGGCACGAGGGGGGCCGTGGGGGGGATAAGACAGTCCCTGACATCATTTAAACCCTCCCCGTCTGCCGCCGCCACCGCACTCCGCTCCGGGAGGAAGAGGAGGAGGAGGAGGAGGAGGACATGAACACCACCCGTGGGGACACATGGTTGACGGAGGCCTCCCAGATCGCTGTGGTGCT